AGCAGGATGGCTTTTGCTCTTGTCATATGAAGCTGCAAGCTTATCCGCGAGTTTCCTCCCAACATGGAACGATTGATGTGCCTCAGCAAATTCTTTTGAAGTGATAAACCGGTAAGTTTCATCCCTCCTCACCCAATATTGCTGTTGATCTTTCTTTGAAGTCACCTGCAACGAATTTAAATTTCCACCATCAGAAGGGAAAATAGATCAATGATTGTCATTCTTATTTGTTTATTATAAGACATACTTCTTGCAAGAAGTCGGCCACGCCTTTTCTATCTGGACATTTGAACCCCATGGACTCGAAGAAGCCAAGGACATCCTCTCGAGGTCCCTGATAGACAATTTTCTCATCTGATAACAGAATAATGTCGTCGAACAAGTTGTACGTCTCGGGTGCTGGCTGCAAGAGAGATATCACAGCAGTTCCGTGCAAGATTTGCACAGATTGTCTTAGTGAGTTCACAATTGAGTAAGTAGTAGAACTATCCAATCCAGTTGAGATTTCATCCATGAAAAGTGCCTTGGACGGTCCAACGAGCATTTCACCGGTTGTCACACGCTTCTTTTGTCCTCCTGAAATACCCCTAATCATTTCATCTCCCACCATAGTATCTGCACAAATATCCAGCCCCAAAAGCTGCAGTGGAATACACAAATCACTTAGTTATCAAATTTTCCTCAGCCTTCTGATCGTCGGAAATTTTGAGAAATTAGTGAAACATATTTCTGTTACCTTCAGAACATAATCTGTAACAAAAACTGCTTCTTGTCCCTCTGTTGCTAATGCCTACATCCCAAAATAACTATAAGCATTTCTTTTCGAGAAAGGAAATATTCTAGTTGCTTACCTTCATGAAAATATCAATATCAGGATCTGGCTTGATTTTAGCTGCTTTCTCTCTTCTTGACAGTTCAACCAACAGCTCTGCAACAATAATTCCGAGAAAGATCAATCGATATATCATCCACGTTAGTTAAATTTCAACACAAAATGCTTTTTTTAAAGAACAAGAAGTTTGAAGTATGATCAAGATTCACTACAATAAAAAAACAACTTTAATTTTAGTGGCAATAAATTAAATATGCATATAATAAAAAGTGCTAAAGGCTTTACGAGCATTAATTGATTCATTGTTATTGGATCCAATACCGCTATAGGCTTTAGGGACATTTACAAACCATGCACATTTTTAGTGGCAATTAAGTTATTTTCGTTAAAGCTCATTACTGGTTTAGTGATTAAGGAAAAAGGAGACAAATTCTAACCATAACTCGATCCAACTCCCTGGCATCTGGCGGAGAATTCCAAGGTTTCTCTCACAGTCATTTCTCCAATATGTAAATCATACTGGCTAATATAAGCCGCTGTTCTTTGCGGCACAAACTCATTCATTTCATGTCCATTATACGTCACTTTTCCAGTAACCTGTTTTCCACACAAACAAATGAGTTTTATGCATTGACAGTCTATAATAAGAAGAATATATATTAATTGTCGGAACGACAAAAATGACAGCTAGCTAATCCTTGAACTGTCAGTCTTGGATACATAGAACTAATGGTGATACCTTAAGGGCAGAGTCGAGCTTTCCGGCCAAAGCTAATAATAATGTAGTTTTCCCGGAACTTGGAGGTCCTAAAAGCAAAGTCAATCTGCGAGGCTTAATGATACCACTCACATCATTAAGAATAGTTAGTTTCCTCTTTCGACTCGGTAGGATATGGACAGAGTTCAATATATCCTATGAATCCCAAAAAAATTTTTAAAAAAAAAAGTTAGTTACAAACATCCTTTTTGTTCAAGATTCGAAATCAAGATTTTCTTTTTACCTCAAAAAAATTAGAGATAAAGTTGATAAATGTAGGCAAAGCTCTACTTCCTACATATGCATCTGCCTCAATAGTTAAATGCTCATATCTTACTTCTATTTCTGGCAAATCTATCCCAACTCTGTGAAAAGAAAAAGAATTGTCAAACAACTTATCATAGATAATCAACAACATCACAATAACTATGCCTCAATTCTAACCAAGTCGGAGTAATTAATGACAATATGAATCATCATTGTCCATGTTGTTCCATTTAAGTCCGTCTCAATTAAATATGAAAAACAAATTAGTCTTAGATGAAGAACAGCACAACAACTACGACGTCTCAGTTTTTAAGCAAGATAGTTTGATTACATAAATCGTCACTATTCGTGCCACTTTGTTTGCTCCATTCTAGTTTATATAAAAATATATCCTTATTAATTCATTACAGAAGAAACACAAAACTTAGCTTTTTATTCTACTAGCTTTGGTGAGAAACTTCTGTAGCCATACAAATGATATGATCAGAAGTCATATTTAAGACCACAAGCTTCTAACAACATATGTATGCAGAATCTGTAACGAACATTGCTGTTAAATGGTGTGGCCTATATAGTTATTTTTCGTTCATCAAAGATGACAGAAGATACATCGACTTACCTGTCAATTCTTTGCTTGAGTTTCAACAGGAGCTTCTCATTATCCTCATCTGCAACTTTGACAAGCCTTTCAAGCAACTTGTTTCTTTCTTGAAAACCAATATCATGTATATCAATTTCAGCAGATGCACCTTGTGATCCAAACAAGAGACCTTTTCTCAAACGATCAAACGTTGGAAGCTTTTCAAGAGCTGCCCATTTAAGAGCCTCTTCATCATCTTCGTCTCTCGTTGAACGATTAAAAATCTCCCCATCATTGCCATTCCACCTGGAGTTATTAGTACTATTCCTCTTTCTACTTAAGCTCCCTCTCAAACTACTTCCCCTGATTATTTTTTCTCTTAAACTAGTACCTCTTGAATTAGTTAGCTCCATTTTGAACCAAACAGAGTTAGTTAAAGTGTGTTTCTAAAGTTTAAAAGCTAAGGGATTATTATATAGAAGCAAGTAGAAAAGGATGCCCATTTGAGAAAAAAAAATACTTTTCCTAAAACTATCGACTAATGCGCACCTAAAGATAGCGGCTAGAGGGACTATTTGTCATTAACAGGAAGGAGGTGCATACATAGATAAATTTCAACAAACATAAATTTCTAGCATGTTGAAAATGAGGTTAACAAATGATATTTAATTTGACAACTATATTCAAGCATAACACTACCAAGTATTTACTTTTTAGGAAAATTGTTTGTTTACCAATAGATCTTCATGGTAATAATTGAAACAAAATAGTGATTGAATAATTTAACGACTCAACTAAAAGCAAAATTATTTTTAACATGAAATAAAAATTTTAAACTTATATCAAATTAAAGATTACAAATCAAATTAGAATGTCAAGGCAAAGTATAATACAAGCCAAAAGAGTGTAACTATGATTTTTAGATTGGTATTTATCTAATCAATTTGGTTCAGAGTTTTTTTATTACTTTTTACTTAAAATTAAAATTTATCGATTCTTTAATTGAAAAATCAAACCAAACAAACTGACCCTGTGTGTCATATCAAACCAAACAAACAAGCCATATGTGTCATATTAAACCCCCCAAAAAAAAAAAAACCTAACTCTCAATTTGTTCGTTTTTTTGGTTTGATTCGATTTTTCGGCATAACAACTCTACTTTTATTGGGCATTATGGTTATATATTGTAGTATATCAGCATCCAAAACCATAATTTATTTTTTTCCAGAAAGTTGGAATAATAAATATTTTGCTAATCCTATATATTTATTTATATGTTGGGTCCAATCTATTTAATTTTTATTTTATTTTTAGTTGTACTCTACATCATCTAGAGATTACAAAAGTCAGAATAAAGTATAAAGAATCTAGTGGGGGTAACTGTTCTAATCTTTTCTCCTATTCACTTATAGACTCCTTACTCCTTAATCGATCAAAAACGATTCAATAAAATTGATTAAATTTTAATAAAAGATCGAGTTAGGCATGTCCAAACTCATATTCATATTTTGAGAAAGTTAATTAGGCACTTGTATCTCTTATTTGCATATTATTGACTTTTAAAAAGAAAGAATCAAAATCTTTTTAATTTATTGTGTAATCTATTAAATGAAGGTTTACGTTTTGGCTATTTGTTTTCTTTAATAATGTTGTTAATAACCATTTAACTTATTTTCAGCCCATAAACTATTATCCTTAAACGGCAACTTTTTGCCAAAAAAAGAAAAAGAAAAGATTTTTGTCATTGATGTATTATTTGGATATTTATCAATTATATTAATACCGGTTTAGTACAAGTGTGTATACTTTAAAATTTATACATCACTATACTTGTAAAAAATTAGGCCTCGGCCTAAAACATTTTGATTTATAGATATACAATTAATATATATCATATATATATATCTCCCACCTCCCCTAATCTATTACTATATGTACTTAATCTATTGACTTTATACTCCATCAACTTTTTCTTTTTTTCTATTCTAAAGTCATTTCGTTGGCGGGGTTAGGCCAGACCCCTACCTTATATGTTAGTAGAATCAAAATATATACTACACGATAAAAATATGTATTCTAACATTTTCAAAAGATATTCATCGTTCACTTGTTTACTATATATTTAACTTGATATATTTTTACTAAAGTAATAAATAAAATATCTATTTTATTATGTAATAATGTTCTGATAGATAATTATATTTAATATTCTTAAAATTATAAGTTGTATTTAAAATTGAACGAATAAAAGATATATATATATATATATATATTTGAACAGTTAGACTTATAAAAGCGGTACTAAAAATGCTCAATTGTCAATGCTCTATATACCTATATGATGATGGAAGGTTCTTTTGGTTAATACAAATTAAATTTGGTAACTACAAATAAAGTACATTAGCATTGACTCGATTTTGGGATTGATTCTTAACAAAAATTGACATTTTTTTCATTTTGTCCAGGTTCAAAACCCCAAAAATTGTCTTGTAAATTTTTCAAAGTTAACTTGAATAGAATGGCACAAGTAAATATACAAATTTTTGGGCACACCCTAACTAACGTACGATAATAAGTTGTCAAGTGCACATTCAAATATAGTATTAAGAGGGGTAGAACTACAAGAGGGGCCAACAATCAAATGTCAGTATCTAAGACAAGTTTTGAATGTTAACAAACACCAAAGAAACTCTCAAGTTACATGATAATGAAAATACTACTTTAAACTATTGCAACAATGAAATGTTTGTATCTAAGACAAGTCTTGAGTATTAGGTGAGACACCACAAAAGCTCTCAATAGTTTCAACAACGCCGCGTCTAACCCCAGACATATAAAATGGAAGATATTTGGAACCATCAAAGGGCTTGTAGAGCAAAGGATGATGTTCATCAACAAGTTCCTCTGGGACTTTAATGATATAGCCTTGTTTAGGAATTGTGGTAAATCCCATAGAAAACCTCTCTTCATTTCCCATAATAACTCTATGAGTAGAAGAGTGAAACCTACCATTTGTAAATGCCTACAATTTACATAATAATAATAATAATCTTTAAGTTATATACCAACTAATTTAGTTATTATATAAATAAAAATTAGTGGATGGAACTTACTTTGAAACAATCACCAACAAAGTACATGTATGAATGAGGTGATGAGTATTGAAGATCAATCCATTGCCCATTTTTGTCCAAAATTTGAAGGCCATTGACATGTTGATCATGTTGGCTCAAAATGGTTGAAATGATTTTATCAGTATGAGGAGGTACTCCAACATTTGTCTCCTCACCTACTTTGTACTTCATACAATTAAGCAAGTAATCACCTGATTTTTTGTGATCATCCAAGTATCTCTCCAATCCCAATTTCTCAAATACCATTATTCTTACCATATCATCAAATTCTAATAATTTCTTGGAGTAACCAAGCACCAAATCACTTCAAAAAAAAAAAATCAATTACAAAACACATACGTATATAAATTAAAATGTTTGATTAACGATAAAGATGTACGTACCAGAATTTAGGGTCTCCCTGGGGCCAAAGGATGTAGGAAAAATTCTGAACAGCATCATGAGTGAGGACATTGCCAATCATCATTCTCTCTTGAAGTGGTGTTCTAGGATTATCTCTAGTATAACCTACCAACACATTTTGTGATTTTTCAAATTTTTCATCCAAATTCAAATTAAATACTTGTTTCAACTTTTCATATAATTGTTCTTTGGGAATTTCTCCATCAAGTAAAGCCTCAAAACAACCATACTTTTCTAAAGCCTTGAAAACTCCATCCCTCACTAAATTCCATTTTTCACTTCCTTTTTTCCACTCTGAATAGTTCCTAAAATCTATAGTTGGAACCTTCAAATCCATCCTTATTTTATGATAAATTACTTCACTTGTTTACGTCTTGTCTATATATACACACAAGAATCACTTGATCTGTGTGAAATTAAAATTAAATATTACTGAATTATTTTCAACTTTGACTTAACTATTTTATTAATTATTTTTAATGCTATGTTGAATTGTGTAATGATGCATTCTAAATACCTTTGAATCAAATGATCATGTGCATTAAATGTATATTTCCCTGCTTTGACTATAATTACTGCTTTCTCATATATAGTTTGGTTCATTGAAAGTGTTTGAAATTAAAATAAATGGTCAAAAATACATTTAAAATATATATTTTTGGAGAGTAATTATTATCAATTATTTATCAAAATAGTCAATTATTTAGACTAAATGTTTGAATACATTCACATTCATTTGTATTAAGTTCCGTTGTTTCGAGTATTGTTATCAAAAGAATTATATTTGAGATTAAATTTGTATTGTTACTTATTCATGTGTGGAATTTATACAACGTATTTTCAATATTAAAGGAAAAGGTTACAATTTAATTTATTGAAAGATAAATGTTCAATTATAATTTATCGATTTAGAAAACGATTGCGTTCTTGCTAAAACTATGTTCATTTTTCATGAATTTGTAAATATTTTATTGAATGCAACCACCTCCATGAACACAACGACATACTTTGTTTTTTAATGTGATAGACCCTCAGCTCAAGAAAATCGTTTAATTTTTTCAGAACAGCTTTAAAAGAAATGTAAGGGAAACCAGATTACATACAATATTCAAATTGTGTGACTCTTATATTTAAAGGGATCCACAAGATAAAAAATTTGTCAAGTCACTTGCAAAATGAACCTAACTTCAAAATAGCTCTAAGAAAAATACAATAAAACAATGACAAAATGTACCATGATTTACTTCTTCTTGCCTGCTTTACCTTCTTTCCTTCTAACTATTTCATCAGCATATTTCACTCCTTTACCTTTGTATGGCTCTGGAGGTCTCCATTTTCTAATTGAAGCTGCAAATTGACCGATCTCTGACTTATCGTAACCACTTACAGTGATTCTGGTGTTTTCTTCAACCTTAACTTGCAGTCCAGCAGGAACTTCCATCCTAACGGGATGAGAAAATCCGAGATTGAGAACTATGTCTTTCCCTTCGATGGTTGCACGATATCCAACCCCTACCAATTGAAGTTTCTTCTCGAATCCTTTGGAAACGCCGACTACCATGTTATCAGTTAGAGTCCTGCCGAGTTTGATGAAGAAAAAGAACATCTTCAGAGTAAACACTCAAAATATGTGCATCTATACATTGTCACTAGAATTGACCAACATAACAACAGTGATAAGATTATGAAAAATTTTATATACAGTCCGTAGGTATTGGCAGAATGTTTGATAGAGTTGGTGTAAGACACATATTATGGCTTTTGAAGTTGAGAGGAAATCATTTGGGGTGCAGAATCATACCTTTATCACAAAATTCTGTGAAACTGATGATCATCATCATCAGAGACGAGAGTCGTGTAAATGAAAATTCCAAGTTGAAAATCACGTCTAATTGTTGAAATCATGGATATTCTTCTAGCTTAAGGCGTGTGTATGACACTTTCTGTAAGGATATTCAATCATATAAACGTATCTCCTAGGATTCAACAAGCTCATCTAGTATAAACTAGCATCAAAAACCTTATGATTTATGGTTATTATACCTAAACTAGTTCTTTATTAAAGCTCCTAAAACTCTACAACGACTAGTTAACGGCTAGTTTGACCATTTAAAGTAAGGGCAAAACAATAAACTATAAGTGGATAAAAACAAGGGACACTTCCTTATGAGATACTTCCAAATTTCCAACAATCCCACGCACATCTCAAAAAGAATATCTATAAAATGAAGAAAGAAAACATATTTTGATAGTTTGCTGGGTTTTGAGTATAATGGATCCATTTGGTATCTTTTGGATTACGAACCAAATACAGATGCTAAGATTTGACTTACAGAATAATTGGCAAAGTTGATAACTTTTACGAACTAAAAATTCTAGTTGTAAGCTAAGTTTCTTATTCATCACATTATACTCCCACAATTTCTATTGTTTATTGCAGTTTTGCGCTAATGCATAATAGACAACTGGCTTGCCTGGTTATTCGAGAGTGCTTTAGAATTTTGCCGTAATTTCAAAAGAGCAGATACACATGAATAAGATTAAGAGTTTTACTCAACCTCACTACTGTGAGTATGTCTCAAAAGGAAGTTTCCCTTGTTTTTATCTGATTAGTTATGATCTTCCCTAAGTTAAAGTAGTCGTTAACTAGCCGTTGGAGAGTATAAGGAGTTTTAATATGAAAGAACCAATTGAAGTGCGTGTCTAAACTCAAAAACATAGATTTTTTAATTATTTCTACTTTCTCTTCCTTCTTTTAAAGTTGGGGTTTTCCTCTTCAAATCTGTTGTTTACATTGAAAACTTTAACCGTATCCATTTTTTTCCATTTTCCCCTTGACCAAAGTGTAGTATATGCACTTGTGGCTTTTGAGACTTGCAAATGGCTTATTAGCATCCAGATATTATAGATCTTTCTCACCACCCCCTAATTGTGATACCTTTTAGCCTAGAAACACTACGACTAGCACTGATATATGTCCTTTGCTAGAAGTCCTAGCTGTTCTTACGTCTATATTCCCTCTTCTGCCTAATTTATCACTTCTCATGACCTTAGAATCATTAATTCTGTCATGGAACTAAGGATCTGCTACATTTGAACTTTGTTGCCAGTCAATCTTCTCATAGTGAGAAAGATCATTTCTTTAACATGTCAAGACTGAGAACTATGTACTGCTTTTATGTTGCTCGGACAAAAGATCGTTTCTTTAACATGTCAAGACTGAGAACTATGTACTGCTTTTATGTTGCTCGGACTCTTCAAAATGCTGCCGAGTGCAGGTCAGACCCTCCAAAAGTAGTGAACTTTTGAGGATCCAACACAAATGCAATAACATTTTTGGTGATTCCCGAGCAACATACTTCTTTTGCTACTTACAGTGACTAATGTCCACGTTTTCTTCCATATTTTCGAGTCCCCTCATAGCAAAAGAAGCATTCGATTATATCAATTTATTAGGTAACCATTGGCAAGAGGCTACAGCAAGTAATATATATCAATAGTTAAGATCAAATAAGTAAAGTTTAGAACCACAAAGAGGTTCACTATTTTTGAAACTTAGAAGTACTAAAAAGAACAGAAAACTTCAAGGTGGTAAGAAATGACTGCCCTTCTTTACCTTATTAAGAGGAAAAAATTATCCTTTCCTCTTCATTAACAACTAGGATAAAATCAATTAGGACTAGGACTGGGAAACATCTCAATTTGGTTATAAAATATGATATCATATAATTGGAGAAGATCAATTAGACCCTTTAAATCTTAAATTTTATGTCAGAAGAACTAAGTCATCACTAGTCCACATCAAAACCAGTCGTGAATTTCAAAGTAATTACTCCAGTAAGTAGATTATAGCTTCTTGATCATACGTAGTAGTAATAGGTAAATTATAACTTAGAATGTTTACCATATCTAAGAATAAAACCGAGAAAAGAAGTCGAGAAAACAGCACAATTAAACTGCAGACTACCTGAATAAACCATGCATCTGATTAGCGCGTCTTGTCTCCATGGCTTTTCTGACCCTTAGAATACCTCCATCTTCCTTCTCAAGCTTTACTTCTCGTGGATAAGTTATGGCCATCTCCCCCAGAGGTCCCTTAACTTTCAAATCTTGGCCTTCCATTGTGAGTGTCACATTTGAAGGTACTGATATTGGTTGCTTCCCGATTCTTGATTCTTTACATTCGACCGTCTTACTCACAAAACCAACACGGCGAACAGCAACACTCGATACATGAAACCCATTCAAACTCCCAACAAAAGGAGACCGCAAAGTGCTGACATGAAATAAAACAAGAATAACAGATATGTTTTACAAGAAAGCCAACACCAATAACAGCCACACTCAAGATATGAATCCCATTCAAACCTCTCAACAAATGGAGACCTTAAATAGATAAAACAAGATCAAAGTTTTTATTTTTACAAGAAAACATGCTAAGCCCCGACACCCTCTATACTGGCTAAAGCTTTATTCTTCAAATAAGGATACCCCAGAATCTGAAAGACACAAAATTGCATAAATTTGACACAAACTGACCAATAAACTACAAATGTGCAAAATACCCAATTTCAACAATTCAAGAATCAAAATGAAAAAGTAAAACTCAACAAGCTAAATGCACCTAATATGTATAGAAACAGTGAGTGAGAAGGGTAGCAGAATAATTAAGTTCTTACCCAGAACACACAAAAGCTACAAACTTTATTGTATAATAAGGAAACCCACAAGCTCAAAGACACAAAATTGCATAATTGAGCAAGAAACTATAAATGCACAATACCAATTTCAACAATTCAAGAATCAACATGAAAGTGTAAAAATCAACAAGCTATATGCACCTAATATGTGAAGGGGAGCAGAACAATTAAGTTCCTTACCCTCAATACACAAAAGCTACAAACTTTATTGTATAATGAGGAGACCCCAGAAGCTAAAAGACACAAAATTGCATAAATTGAGCAAGAAATTACAAATGCACAATACCCAATTTCAACAATTTAAGAATCAACATGAAAGTGTAAAAATCAACAAGCTAAATGCACCCAGTATGAAAAAGGGAGCAGAACAATTAAGTTCCTTACCCACAACACACAAAAGCTATAATTTTTATCGTATAATAAGGAAACCCCAGAAGCTAAAAAGACACAAAATTGCATAAAATTGACAATGAAACAACAAATGTGCAAATACCCAATTTCATTAATTCTAGAATCGACATGAAAATGTAAAAAGCAACAAGCTTCATAGTGTTAACAACAGATTCAAGAAGCTAAATTTACCTGGCATGTAAAGAAGCTGTGAGTGAAGAGCTACTCATTTTTGAATTTTGCCTGCAAGCTACAAGACTGAGTCTCTTAAGAGCTGAACTATCTTGTATAGTGGATAGAGCCCTTTTTGCCTTGCACATTAAAGAGTATTGACAATTTCACCCCTTATCCTATTTCAACTAAATAACAATTTCCCCCTCTATGTTACAAAGTTTCTCTTTTGCCCCCTCTTGATATCGGTAAATTCTTTGATACACATATGATTCGAGTTAAAGTTACTGAATCTAAATGAAGTCATAAGATGTATGTTAGATCGGGATGTAGATTTTTATCTATTTCGTATTACGTAAATTAATCATAGAGTCTCAAAATAAGAGTCAAATTAGTATTCGTGTTCACAAGAAAAGAATATCATATATTTATATAAAAGAGAATCTCTGCCCGCCTACATGGCAGCACCACAAGAAAGAATTGCCTTTTAAATTTAATTATTTCCAAAATTAGCCTTCATCTTGCTTGAAAACATGTGACTTTTATGAAAATTACAGTTGCGACTTTAACGAAGAATTGCGAATTTTATTAAAACAGTTGTAACTTTTTAGAAAAATTGTGACTTTAATGAAAAGTTGTGACTTTTATCAAAAGTTTTGATTTTAATGAAGAGTTGTTACTTTTATCAAAAGTGTGACTTTTATGAAAAGTTGCAACTTTAATGAAAAGTGGTGACCTTTCCGAAGGGTTGCAACTATTTCAAATAGTTGTAACCTTTCCGATAAGGCACAATAAGAATTTGTTCACGCTAACCTTTATTGTCTATAAATACAAAAATTTCCTCTCATTTTAAAACAACAAAAATTCTGATACTCTTCTACATCCGTAAAATTAAATATTTTTGTACTTTGCTCATTTTGAGTGACTTATTAACACCCCCATTATTTTATCAATAAGTTGGTGAATAGAATCATTTCATCCTGAGAGGATGTAGTTCTTTAAAACCTCTTATATTGGAGGGGAATAGATTTTTTAATGGGACATTGTGCATTCAATTGACTCGATTTTTTCCTTTATATTTAATGGTATTTATACATATCCTGGTATGTTTTTTTACGCTCATTAATTTATACTCATGTTATTAATTGTTGTTTTTGAGTACATATTTTAAACATTATTTTTATGTTTATGTTAACTTATTTTCTCCGGTTATATTGAACATATACACATATTGTATGTATATTTATTATCAAAAAAAATTATTGTATTTAGTTCCGAAAATTCATATTTTGATATTCTATATTAAATTTTAGAAGTACTATATATAAGCTTACCTAATATCTTCTTCTTTATTGTCTTTCAATATTGATTAATGAACCAATGATTTATTATATCGTGAATAATTCATTAATTGGAGGTTTTTGAGTTATCTAATAATGACAAATAAAATTAAATTTATGTTGCAGTATTGCTAATAATTTTTTAAGAACTTATTCTTCTATGATTTTAATGTATGGATATTAGTATAAAAATATTTGCAAGTTAAATGCATTTATTTTTTATGACCGCGCCAAGCGCGAAAAAATTACCTAAGTTTAAAAAATAAAATATAGTTTTAGAAATTTAAATTCGTGATAGTTATAATCGTATGGAAGCCCAATTAAGCCAAATATTTAGAATGGAGTTGTGATGATCAATGATGCAATCATTTTTCTATACTAAACCATCTTCTCTTCTTTTTTTTTTATACGGTGTGTTTCATACTTAATTAAATAATATAATACGATAAAAAAGATGAGTTAGATTTGTATTACAAATGAAATCTTGCTTAAAATAATTAGATACTTAATTAAGTAGAGAATGATAGCTTATTATTATATATACTTTAGACATTTACAATATATATATAGAGAGAGAGAGAGTTAATGATGTTTATCACTCCTTGATTTGTGTTAAAAAAAATAAAGATGTATATAGAAAAAAGACCACAAAAATAAATATTTAAAAAAAGACTAGACAAACATTATTTTTTGTATATATAAGTAGCTTAACTACTATATCTCACATGATAAAAGTATACATATTTTAACAAAGTCTAGCTCATCCCATGTTACAAAAAAAAATGTAATAGGTATACTAATACTTGCCAACGGATCAAATTAAAATTTTTGAATCCAGACTCTAACATAATACAATGGAACTTCATACCATATTCATTGTAAAAAGGTGAAATGGCAAAGATGGATCTCGCTTAAAAATTACGAATTCACGTAAATCTAATTAGTAAATTATATTCGAACCTTATACATGTATTAAGAAAAATATATAATTATGAATTGTTATATATTAATTTGAGGTTGTTGCACGGAGTCATAAATTTCAAATTCTGAATACACCTCTGATTGCAAGTGTTGAGATGACGGTGACCATACGTTTTTTGGTGAGTTGGCGGCGGTGCCGCCGCCACCGGACATGGATGAGAATTGTTGCATCTTCATGTGGACTAACTCAGCTTGTGCAATTGCTAATTGTGTGTGTAGAAATTCAATTTGGTGATGTAAAGATGAAATAGTTCCAACACAACCATAAATTGGATCTTTTATTCTTGCATTTGCCTCATACACCATTGAACTCACTGCATCTCCTCGTTGATATTCTTGCAATTCCTATTGAGATATATCAAAATGTTATTGCATGCATGCATGTTTAAGGCCACAAATTTTAAAGACACACAAAATATATAACATGTTTAAGATTATAAATTTTAAATTCTACTTTTATGTCGATTTAAACTATGTCATATAAATTTAAACTTATAATTGGAAAACTCATAAATAAAAATTGCTCTTACCTGAATCATCTTGTTCACATTGCTAGCTCCAAATACTTTATGAACACTTGCAAACTTATGTGGTTCATCACTTGGAAAATAAGGTGAAAAAACACAGTCTTGTGTACATCTTCTCCTTAACAACTTACAAGCTGCGCATGGAGAAGTTGCACCTTGTTTTCTACCACCACTCTCCTTCATACTATAAAATTTATAGACAAAATCACTCGATATACTTATATGGATAGAAAATAATACGTATATAATTGGTAAAATAATTGATATGTGCACATATAAACCAAATTAAGCACCACTTTAATTTAAAAAAAGTTTGTTGAAATTTACTTCATATACACAAAAGTTTCAATTAACGACAGATCGATACACTAAAGGGAAAGAAGGAAAAATTGGTTAAAGGGAGTGAGGGAGATTAGGAGCTAAATGTTATATAGGGAAGAAGTGGGTACCAGAAAATCTTTTGTAGGGCCTATATTTAGATACTGCTTAACAAAAACATCTATTTCAAGTAGATATTTTGTCCCTTTACTGTATTATTGTTGGGATTTGCTTACTGTTAAAATATTTATTCATTTTTTTTAAAATTTAATTAAAGGCTAACCAATCAATCAAATGAAATGAGGTAGAATTATTCATCTTGAATACTCTATAAATTTATAAAAAATTAAGACATAATATACAATAGCAATTAGCATCGACAAAGTGATCAAGAGATGCTCGAATCATACAACACTTTGGCTCGAAACCATTAACTAGCACCTTCCTCGACAATCAGTGGATTAAAGATTTAATTCATGTGATCAAAGTTAAAATAATATATACCATTAACTAAGATATTGACATTGCGTTACTTTAATTTAAATGTGATTACATTAAATTATTCTTTAATTAGTCGGATCTTGTTATTTGGAGCTAGCTTGTAAAATTGAAAATTAATGTTCATTGGGTAGAAAAAGAAAGACATGAATTAGTCAAGAAAATAACAGTATCAATTCAATGAATCATCTCATAATCTTAGAAAATTATCTAACAAAATTAAGGGTTGTCTATAAATCTACTGTTTAATTCCCCTTGTTGCTTTCACTAACTAAATGAGAATTGAAAATATAATTATGTTGATATACACAAATTAGTTTTACAAAGATATATCGACATCAAATAATAATAATTCATTTAAATGGTACGTATATGTGGCTTGAAAATTAATTTCAAAGGGTAGAGATTAAATTTTCATCAAGTAAACGAAACACTAATTATGTATCAGTATATAATCCAATCTACAAACGTGTAAACAGTTTTATATTTACATATATAAGTACAAAACGTCCATCAATGTTTCTTATTGGATAGAATGTCAACAATATGTGGCCCAATTAATTTTAGAGCCTAAGCCCAATATGTAGTGAGCTCATATTTGAAAAGTGGTAATAATTGAGAAAATACTTCCTTGTGACTTTTTTTTTTTAAAAAAAATCACTATCGATAAGGATGGAATGATCGAAATATCTTTTCTCCCAAATTAGAAATATTAGATTTGAGCTTTGGAAATGGAGGATCTTTTAGTAAGGAGTGTTTTCATTCGCTTAATAACGGTCAAATCCCATGCGCAGAGACAAAACAATAATTTGAAATTTATGATTTTCTAAGCATCTCATTGAAGTTATGAATTTTTCTAAACACATGTACATGTACTAAGCACATAAACTTTGAATTCGTCTTAATCCATAAACTAACAAGATAAATTTTACCTTTGTTAATATGAATTTGAATTAATCAAATCAGCAGGCTTCGAATGTTAAATACTTGAAAAAAGAACATGTTTTCTACTCTATTTTATCAGTGTAAAGAGATTTTCTAAAAAATTGAAATATTATTAGATGCCTTTGCTAAGAAGCTTTGTATGGTTGAGAAAGTAGTAGCATCAAGTTCTCTCTATCTTTAAAGGAGTACTCAAAAGGTAAAGTAGGTCCCCACATTAAATATTTGGACCCCATACCCCCCTCCTCAAGAAAATATGTTAGGATTGACATTCTAGTTGTATGGTAACTAAACAAAAAAACCAGAAATAGTTGGAAACTAGAAAAGTTTTGTTCGAGTCGTTTGACGTGAGGTACAATGTATAACAATTTCAGGATAATATGTTAGGATTTTTTTATGTCACGTTTAGTAGAAAGTATTAGGTAGTCCTTAGATTATTTATTCAATCCTTTTTTTTGTCATAGCAATGAAATAAGTTATTTCATGTATAATAAAATAATTTATTTTGAGATTAATTATCTCGAAATAACTTGTATCGAACCAAACAAGCCGTTAAGGTTAAAGATTGTCGTGGGGATGAGATCATCCATGACATGGTTCTCACTTCTAACAATTTTGGACCACTTTCCACTATGTTCTATATTGGATCCAAGAATGTTTTATTGCATACCATAACTCCAACTAATATATGCACATTTACTACTATTTTTTTAACGTTATTTTACTTATTCTTTGAATCAGAAGACTTACCCTTCTTTTTGGACTGAAGACCTACTTTGCGGGCCAATTCGTACCTACGATATTATTAGGTGAAAAGTTTGGCTGGGGCGGTACAACTATCTTGAAGACTTTTGTTTAGAGGGTAATTCGTACTCTTGTTAGGTTACGATATTTTTGTTTTCCTTTTTTCAAAGTAACTATTGGGATATTCTTTGTCCACTTAACTAATTCATGTCCAAACACCTATTAATGTCTTGTTTCTTGTATAAACTTTTGTGTGTTCAAGAACTACATCAACTTAGTTCTTGAGACTTTAAAAAAAATGATATTTAACTTCTTACCTTCTTCAATGTATAAGCTGAATTAATTGGAAAATAGATATTTGGAATATGTCACTTTCTTTTATAAGATATGTGACACCACAATTAATACTCTACATATTAGCATGCCTTAGGCAATTATGAACATTAGCTAACATTGCAACTACCCCTTCTGAATACTTTTCAAAAAACTTAATATTTTCCTTTAAACATTTTAATGATGGACAGTCTCATCACTCAATTAATAGCCCAATACTTCCTTTTATCTAAAAAAAAGAAACTTTTGAATGGCAACACACACATTTACACAACATAATAAAAGGACCTAAACACTAAGTAGTCCACAAAACATAACAGGCCAAGAGAAATGGACAATGGAAATTTTATGTACAGTTTAGGTTATTTATAATGTTACATCAGATGAATCTGAATCTATCTTTTTTACACACCAAAATATGGCAACCCATTCTCTTCTTTTTCAAGTACCAAAAAGAATCCACCTATCTGCTTTGCTATTTCCATTGTCAAGTCCTTTTTTTTATCCCACTAGAATGTGCACAGCATTGCCCTACCTTATCATGTTGAATGTGGTCTTCTATTCATGCAAGCATGTACACTTTGAACGCGTTTCCGATAGTGCCTGAAACAATTCATGTATTGAAGTGAGAAATTTGAATGGAAGGAATACTTTTTTGTTGATTCCTTTTGGGATGTACCTTGACTTGTGTCTCTAGTTCTTTGATGTAGTCAGCTGCAAAGTCCAACATATCTGCTGTGTTTGTTTGCTGCAAAGAAATTGAAACAGGGAAACAAGAATAAGAGAAGCTAAATTTGACCTTTATCATTTTCTATGTTGCTCGAACTCTCCAAAAATTGTTAGCGCACCCATGTTGGATCCTCCAAAAGTGCACAATTTTTGGAGGATCCGATATGCACACGTCATCCTTTTTGAAGAGTCTGAGCAATATTCATATTTTGGACACCATAAGTTGGGATTACCTTGTCCATATTGGGGACAAGCTCTTGCAGCTTCCTCATTCTTTCGCTTATTCGTGTTCTTCTTACCTAAGATTAATGGTAACAATTGAATCAGTACTTGCTTAACCTATCTTTCAGGGATAAAAGACTACTTGATTGAACTGATTTGTGATCTAGATTGAATATAAAGAGAACTAGATTTTTTTCTAGTGTGAGTTGTGTACCCTTTCGGCGATGCTACGAGGATGAGTGGCACAGCCTCTCTTTGCTCTGACTTTACATGGTACTGAATCTTGCAAGAGCTTCTCCATGGCGGATAACTCCGCTGATGTTTGAGGTAAACTCAAATGAGATAATAGAGTGGGAGGACGAGCTCGACCTTCACTACTCTGATTACCAAAACCATGTATGCATGAGATTAATCAGGCATAAAGACAACATCAATAATAACAACAGCGACTACTACTACTCCTCAATCCCAAACTAATTAAGTAGGTCATATGAATATGCAATTTTTTAGACCTGTTTCAGTTCAATACAGGCGGTAAAAGAATGACAAATGTGATTATAAGAAAAATACCTGATTATCAGATGCATTTACATTGGAGAATGATCCGGACTCATCATCTTCTGGTACTTGTAGGAAATCATCAGTCAAAATTTGTGAATCATCCCAAGAAGGCAAGGCGAAACCTGCCATGTAACTCTCATCACTTTTATGGCCTTTACCAAAACTTTCATGGCCTCGTCTGCTCTCTTCTATGCTTTTAGCTCCAAATTCAGAGATTGGAGCTAATAGCCCCGAAGAAGTAGGTTGGCCGGATGGGAGAGCTGTTTGACTACTAAACCTGCTTGGATTGGAAAATGATACTTCTCCAGCAGCATTAGTACCACTACCAGCTCCATAACTCCCTATGCCTCTCAATGCACCATATTCTGTCAATTGCTGAAAAAGATTTAGTAACAAACTCAAAACACTAACGTCAGATCAAAACAATGGAAATGATCACAAACTTAGTAGCTCTGGTTGGCGACCTGAATTTTTCACCTTACTGGTGAGGATTCGATTCTCCACCTTTTAATCCCCTCCACCATTTTCAAAAGAAGAAAAACATCCCAAGAGAACCTACTTTTTCTTTCAGCCCTTGACAAAGTATAATAAAAGAATATCTCAGCAAAACAATGGTCTATGTTGTTCTTCTAGCTAATATCTACAAAGTTCACAAGGGAAGACTTGCATAGATATGATAACACTATCAATAAGATTTTCGTCTGTACAAAACAGTTGATAAGTAGTTAATTAGTGGCAAAAATTGATGACATGCCTCGTTTCTCTTCTAAAACTAATTTAGCTATCTCCAATGACTATGACATTTATGCATATATAATTTATTTTCTAGGAGCATAGCTTAAAATAGAATCTTGGCTCAATCCACACAATGCAAAATTCAAAATAAACATTTAAACAAGCTTAAAATGAATATTCTCGTAAAAGACAAAAACATTCCCTTCATCTGAATGTAGCCCATTAGTCAAGATAATAAGAATAATCAAGATCAAAGATGTTTAACCAAGACAATGCATACCATTTTCAATATTGACTAGTGCAAAGAATCCAGCAGGTGAACTGTTATAACGAGTAAGATTTGAGTCACTACTACCAGTACCAAATCCACCATCCATTTTCGTGTGGTTCAAACGATTATATCTACCAAAGTTATCCATTCCTGAAGTAAAGTCTGTTGCATTGTGATTTTGATAATTCATCTGTGAAGCCAAAGAATAATCACTATTCTGCTGAGCAATTTCTTGTTTCACAGGTGCAACAAACTGTGAATTCTGACTCTGTTGTTCTTGGCATTGGTAATTCATTTGAGCTTCGTGTTCTTGTTTCATAGGAGCTAGAACTTCAGATCTAACATCCATATTGCTCATGGGATTTTGATTTTGCTGAGTATCATCAATTAGGCCATCCGGATTCGAATCTTGGGGACCAATATTAGCTACAAATCTATCAAAAACTTGCTTTATACCACTATTCGAAGCGTGAGGATTGAGCAACTGATCAAAATCATCTCTTGCGTAACCACAATTCCCACTCCCACCAGAAACACCAGCTGGATTATTACTACTCAATAGGTTGGTAAAATAAGAACTTGGCGCGGATCGATATCGAGTTAAACCAGAAGTCATCTGTTGCTGCTGATGACTTCTATGATCCATACTTTTCTCCCTTCAAATACTCAAAAGAAATCTCCTTTATTACAAAAACAACAATATAACAACTACTATGCCTCAATCTCAACAAGTCTGAATCCTCACTATCTATGTTGCTCCATTTAAGAATTCTCCCTTCACACACCCAAAAGACTGCTTTTTTATCAGAAAAAAAGGAAAGAAAGAACAAAATGTCACTGTATGCAGCTCAGATCCACATCCTAGGATACCAAATATTAAATTACAGAAAATCTAAAAAAGAAAAACTTTTTAATAATGTCTATACATAAAGTAATAGTACCTACCAGCTTTAAATCTTGAAACCCTTTCTGTATACAACAAACACCAAAACCATTCTCAATTCCATCAAAAAAGCTCAAAATTCTCTTTCAGACCTTCTATCAAACAAATAGTAAACTTTTCAAGAACCCCATTAACAAAATCCCCCAAAGCTCAAATCTTTCAACTAAGCAAGCAAAACTAAAAGACACCCACTAAAACTCAAGAATCATTAACACCTATGCATATGCAAAATAATATTAAAATTATAGCTAAGAATTGAAAAAATAAAAAAAGTGAGCTAAAAAGCACCAGAAACAAGAACCAGTTAAGTTTATGAGAAAAGGGATAAGATTAAAAATGAAATTAGCCACTACTAAATATATAGAAACTGATTCTTGACACTAGAAATACAAACAGCATAAAACAGAGTACAGTAAAAAGAGTTTGCTGATTTTTTTGCTTTGAGAAAATGGATATGGTGGTGGCAGTAGGAGGAGGAAGAAGAAATATACCACTGGTGGGGGTGGGGTGTAAGGGGGAAAAAGTACAGAGCCAATGAGAACTGCAGCAACAGAGAGATCTGGGATGTTATTTTTGTTATATTCTATTTTTAGCA